TCCCATCAGACATTAAAAGAATGTGTTGGTAATACGGTGTAACAGGTTCTCAGGAACCCAGGTCACAATAAAAAGCTACAGCAGACGAATTCAGTTTGTCTTATATAACTTTGTGCCGTAAAGGATTGCTTGGGACTTAGCAAGAGGGAGTGTGTGTGTGTGTCGGGGGGTACATTAGCTCGATAATTCAGGTTTATAAATAGAGTTGTAAACAAGACGTGAAAGCTGGAATCACTTTAAAATAAGTTGCTCAAGACTCAGTTAAACAGGAGAGGCAGAGAATGTCAGCCACATCCTCTCTGACAGGTCTCTCCCACACAATATGTTTTAATGCGAAACACAAGTACAATACCACAACTCAACTACAAAGCCGTTCTCCAGAACCTTCTGTTTAAATGCTAGGTTTACGGAAGGAGGAGGCTGTAATTCGTATATTAGTCATAATGGTGACAGTGGAAACACAAGGGTCAGTGTATACAAAATGTAGTCGTTTCGCCCACAAAATACACAGTCAATTCGCTTTTACAGTATATGCCATGAAGCGCTTTGAGCCGTCTCGGTGACGTGATGAGGCGCTATATCAAATGCAAGGATTATTACCATTATAACAAGGAGGGTGGATACGGATTGTGTATTACAGCATTGACGATCAGTATGCAAGAGCATGTATACCCATCTCCCCATGAAGGGACGTTGGCAGAGTTGGTAAGCACAGGGCATACTGGGCAGATCGCCATGCACAACAAATACAATGCTAGGTTTATGTTTATATATAGCGTTTTTCACGTCGGGATGACGTCCCAAGGTCCCAGGACTGCCTGGCTTGACACCGGGGCTGAGGAGGGAGGGGAGATGAAAGTTGACCGAAGATGCGTTCGAAAAGGAAAGTCTTGAGATGTTCTGTGAAAGGGGTGAGGGATGTGATATTTGGAGAATCTAATCCTTGCCCCTATTAATGGAATCACTGCTCCCTTTTAAAGTTTTTAAAGTAGTAGTCACCTCCCCTTGCTCCGCACTGTCAAGTTCTCTGGGATGCCCACACGTGGCTGCATGAGGGATGCTGCATATGAAACGGGTTAAAGGCAAGTTTCACCCTTTGTAACGTTCACAGAGGTGAACGTCGGTTGCAGAATTCTGTGCTGTTCATCAAGTTGAAATTAGATGCCGTACACTGTATCTTTAATAAAGGTGCAGGAGTATATTGTGGAATGTATAATCTTTGCCCTTGTAATCTCAGCAGTTCCCCCCCCATGCTGTACAAGATTGCTAATCCAGCACTGTGCGCGTGCGCTGACAGAGAGACGTCACTGCACTAACAATGTAAAATAATAGACACTGAACGCGATAGACAGACCAGCAGTAGGTTTCATCAAACCTTCTGCCAACATCTGGTGGGGAAATTCTCTCACAGCTTGCTTCTCACAGCAGACTTCACGCGGACTTACTGTGGCCTCAGTGAATTATTTTGCACTGTAAATGGGGCAGCAAGACACAACATTTGAGCCGTCTGCGCTATTAATTCCCTCCCCACTCCCTCCGACCTGAACATCCGTGGTTTCTTCCACACATATTGCATAAATATATAAATATTGCATATGTATATTTATGGTTTCACATTTTTAAACAACCGCCCACTGCTATCGCTCGTGTAATTATTCTGAGAGATTCAGGCTTTGTGAATATTCCAGTTGCAATTTGTAGTGCTTCGAAATGGATTAGCAACAATCCCAATTTACTAAGCCCCTGCAATAACAACTTGCATTTTCATCGCGGCCTTTGTGTCTCAAGAGCGCTAGTCTTCACAGTTGACCAAATGTTTGACCGAGGGGTGTGTCATCACAGGCCAAGCTACCCAGCACTCTTTGACTAGAAGTATTTTTGAAATAGTTAGCTAATATTTTTAGAAAATCTATTCCAAACCATCGAATCAAGCTGAATTCCTAAAGTTATACGTTAATAATATTTTAAAGATAGAGGAGCGCCCTCTGCCGGTTAGACATTGAACAGTTTGGAGAAATAATAGCTGCTTCCCCATTCCATGTGCGGTAAACCAGAGTTTATTACTCCCTATCTGTAACGATAAAATTAACTGTGGAGGGTTGGTGGAGGTAGAGAAGTGAGGTGAACATTGGGTGGGGAAATCCCATTGTCTTGATGTGTTGGGAAACACCTCCTTGGCTGGGGATGAGAAAAACAAAACAGTTTACGTTGCTGATCACTTTCCACATGTAGACACAAATTATGATAAATAATAATAATCCTTGCATTTGATACAGCACTTTTCACGTATTCTAGATGTCTCAAAGCGCTTCACAGAATATACTGTAAAGTGAATTGACTGTGGATCAGACTTGTGATTTGAAAGCTCACTGTATACGCTCATGTGTGAACAAGGGCTGTTAGCTAGTGTCTCTACTACCTGCAATTTTAATGTGCTTATAGATTATGGATTATTATCATCAGTGTGGGAAGTGCATGAAATAGTGAGCAGTGAATTTTTATTTTTATTACTGGCACTTGTGTAAGCTGTTTTTTCCCTTTCCCTAGCCTAGGAGTTTTTTCCCAACACGTCAAGACAATGGGGCTCCCTAAAATTCTGTATCTCTCTCGGTCCTCACAGAACTGAAACTAAAATGTAATTGCCCTATTAAAGGCATGAAGAGATACATTATTGAACAATTATACTTGGAGCAGAACTGAGCTCATGTGCACTGAGGGCATGCACTTTGAAGGAGGAGTGATCAATGAACAGAATAATTGTCAGGAAAAAGAAGCAGCAGGATCGTTGTAGAGAGGCAGAGACAAAAACAGGAGACAACAACTAAATATGAGTGGAGATAAAATGTATTATTGGACCAGACAGTAATGATGATTTTCTGTTTAAAAAACACACAGGATTTCCATCTCTACTACCTGCAATTTTAATGTGATTATGGACATCAGTGTGGGAAGTCCACGAAATAATGGGCAGTGAATTTTTATTCACACTCTTGCTGCAATGAGGTGGTTGGTTGGTTGAACCTTTCACTTGACCCTCAGCTCAGTTACTCCCCCCCCCCCCCACCCGACCTCAGCTGAGACCCTTATTCATACTTTCTGTACTTTGAGGCTAAATCTTTCCAATGCTCCACTCACTGGCCTCCCGAGCTGTCTCCAGAAGTGATCCAGAAACACAAGGCTCCACACACCCACAAACCTATTGACTCCCCTTTGCTCCTACTATTGTATATGATCCTTATCCTGGTCACTAAATCCCTCCTCGGTCTTGCCAATCTATCTGAGCGATACATGCATTCTCCAACCCTACATTAGCAATCGCGGGTTGGGAAACCAGGCCACATTTCTACCTAATAAGAAGAACCTTCCATTTGGTGTAGGTATTCAAATCGGGAGGCTGTCCCACAGTGATTCGCAGGATTCACTGTGAAGTGACTGTGAATTAACGGGCGAATGGCACGCAGAGGCGGTCTCGTAAGAGTGCGTGGAAGCTGGGCGAGGGCTGAATGATGTCAAAGTGGTTACTCGGAGAGCGACTCGAATCCATTGGTTTGCCCAGAACCTCTGAAGAAAAATCCCAGTGCCTGATCTGGCGGTCCTGGGGGTCGGCATCGAGCTCTCCATTGTGAGAGCTTCCGAAGAAGCCAAACAGAACCCAGGCCCCCCCCGCCCCCCCAAACCTAAGCCCCTAACTGGCATCCCCCCCACCCCACCCACCCCCTCCGCCTGAGCTAGGAATTGAGAGGAAGTAATAATAAGAAGACACAAAGGGACTCTCTTAATTTTCTCCCTTATCTGAAGGAGCTCAGTGGGTCCCATCAGTGGAGTGTTGTACTGGACAACGGGTCGGGGAGGTGGAGAGGAGGGGGAGGGGGGGGGGGTCAATGGCGCTTGGAGGCATATCCAAGATGGCGGCCAGTCCGCTATTCCCCCCCTTCCCCCCTCCCCCCGGGAAGGCGGCTCTCGCTCTTGGGGGTCGGCCGCCGTGAGAGAAGGGGTGTGGGGGGGGGGGGGCGACCTATAGAGGGCGACCGTTACCGAAACCAAGCGAAATAGAACGACGAAAGGGCCTTATTAACAGACTCCCCCCCTCACCCCCCCCTCACCCCGAGCCACACACACACACGCGCGCGCGCGCGCCACCATCTTGAGGGCACTCGGCGGTTCGCAACACCTCCACCTCACACCCTCCCTCCCACCCACCCAACTACACCTCAAGCTCGAGAAACCTTCCTCTCGCCGTCATATATATATATACATTAAAAAAACCTGACTCCCCGCCCCGCGCGCCCCCTTCCTCTTATCTGTCCCGAGGAAAACGCTCGAGCCGCGCGCCACATCGCCTCGCTCCCCTTTCCAGCGCGCGTACTACGTCACCGCTCGCCTCCCTCCCTCCCGCCCGCCCCGACGTCACCGGCCTGGCGCCGCGCGCTTTTCGTGCGCTCCACGTCACGGCGCCCCGCGTACTACGTCAGCCCCAGCCGTCCACCCGTTGCGGGGGAGTTGCGGATCGGCGCTGTTGCTGAGGCGATTTCTCAGGGGGAGGAGGAGGAGGAGGAGAGAGAGAGAGAGAGAGGGTTTTTTTTTTCTATTTGCGCCGTTTTTTTTTCGGTGGGGGGGTGTGTGTTTGTGGGGGCGGCGGCGGCGGCGTGCGGACCGATCTTTGTGCCCCGCCCGCGGCACCGAACCCCGAGCCTGAGTCCCGAGGCCTCGAACCGCAGAGAGAGAGAGAGAGAAAAAAAATAATCCCCCGAGCTCCCCTTTTTCTCCCTTCCCGCGCTCGCCCTCCCTCCCTCCCTCCCGCTCGCTTCGGGCTCGCGCCGGCGCAGCGGTTGTTCTTCCCGGGTTTTTGAATCGCGACCCGTGTGGAGCGGCGCCCTCCCCTTCCCCTTCCCCGCCTGACTGACTCACCGACCGACCCGACCGGTCGAACCAGCCCCAACCGAACCAACCCACCCCCTCACCCCCACCCCCAACCCCAACCCCCCCCCCGCCGCCGTGGCCGCCATGAGTGTGGACGCGTACGGGCCCAGCTCGCAGACGCTGACTTTCCTGGACACCGAGGAGGCCGAGCTCCTGGGCGCCGACACGCAGGGCTCGGAGTTCGAGTTCACCGACTTCACGTTGCCGTCGCAGACGCAGACGCAAGGCCAGAGCCAAGGGCCGATCGAGGGACAGGTGAGGGAGGGGGAGGGGGTGGCCGGGGGGCGGGGGGGAGGAGGTGCGTGTGAAACGGCGGCCCGGGAGAAGGGGGTGGATAGTCTCAAAACCGGGCGCACGGGCCCTTGCCTCGTACTCGAGTCCCAGGCTTTGCGGCCTGGTTCGCGGCTCCTAAATGTCTCTCTCTCTCTCTTAACCCCCACCCCCCCCCTCACCACCACCCGGGTTCTCTTTCCTCCATGGGGTGGGTCTGGGTGGCGGTGGGGGGGGAGAAGTGAGGCCTGAGCCTACCCCCCCCCCCCCCTCCCTCACCGGAGTACAGAGGAGAGCGGCGCACATGGGCCGCCAGGAAGCGGCATCCCAGTCACCTGGCACACGAGAGGCAGAGAAGGAAGGAAGGAGAGGGGGTGGGGGGGGAGAAGCTGATTTAACCCCCTTTCCCTCTAGAGTGGGGCAGATTGGAGTGGAACCCTTGGATTGTGGAGGTGCGGGTGCAGGGTGGTGTGTTTTTTTGTTGCCAGGGTGGTCGCCTCTGTGACTGGGTGGGTGGGTGGGTGGGGGTGTGTGGTGGGTGGGTGTGAGGGGGGGGGGGGGGGGAGTTGTGGCAGATCGGAGTTCAAGGAGTCCGGGTTGTGGACGGTGGTTGGGGGGTGTGCAGTTGTGGTCGCCTGTCGGTGTGTGTGTGTGCGCGGCCCCCAATTCAGCGTTGTTGTTGTGGCTGCTGTACGAGGGGGTTTCAAACAGTGCATCAAAACTCATCAGGAAATCATAAAACAACACTTTGTGATGTCACAGAGATCCCATCTGTCTCGGCAGCTTTCTCACAACTTCATTTTGAGAAAAAAGGCTCAAGCTGTCTGCCTCCCAAGTGCTGCTTTCCAGATGATACCAAGTTATTATTGACCTTTCATTTAAAGCCCCCCCCCCCACCCCACCCCCCCAACCCACCCACCCCACCTACCACCACCACCCACCATCCCCCCCCCATAAAAATAACCCCCACACATTCCCGAAGACAGCGGCACTCATGCATGGTAACAGGCAAAAGGTTTGTGTCGATGTTGTGAGCGGTGGGGCTGGGGGGGTGACTTTTAACGGCCCCGCCGTTTCGGCACGCCGTGACCGAGTGCACAAACCGATCTCGATTTGCTGGTGGTGATGGGTTTGTCGTCTGTCGATTGGTGTTTTGGTAAAGATTTAACGTGAAAGCGGTACAAAATGACGGTTTAAAAATGACAGTTATTTGCATCAGCAGCAGGGATAAGGTGGAACAGTTACAATTCCAAGTGAACATTCTGAGTGGCTATATCTGTAGTTTAACGGCATTGCGATGGATAGTCATGGCAAGGTCTCAAAAGCCATTTTTAAAAAACTTTTTGACTTTGTTAAACAGTCTGTAATTCCCCCATTCTCCTTGCCTGGTAATCCCCATAGTCTCTGTAAAGTTCTCTGAGATGTTTGTTCTTAATTTAAGGCAATATAAGTCACGCTGCTGGTGTATAGAGCTTTTACTCTTTCAGCGGTGATCCAAGGTTTATCAGCAATGGTATTGAGGCGAGGACACAGGGCTCGTTTAAGAAAGAACTTGATGGTGTTGAAATAGTTGGATTCACATTCTAGAAAGATGAGAAGGGCTTTTCTTCGATGGAGCCCTTCTGAATGCGTTTTTTAAAAAAAGGAACTTCCTATATAGCATATCAAGCATTTATTTGGACCATCAGATCAGCTTTATACTTTAGTGATGGGGACATTTCTGCTCTTGCAATCGGGGCAGTGTTTTGGGTTTAATTCTTGTGAAAGTACAGGATTACAATCCTGCCAATCTAAGTTTGGGGCATTTGGGATCATGCTGTGCTGCTCTGAAGATCAGCATGGGAGAGTGATTTGGTCCAGACCATTTGAGTACCTGAGGCAACTGGTGATGTATAAAAGTCAAATGGTACAAACAAAATTTAGGTCATTGTAGCTGGGTGTTCATGATGTGATTCATTTGCAAGCCATCCATGATGTATTCCTTGCATTACATTTGATGGGAAATATTGGCCCGGTGTGTAAAATCTCTTTTAACTACAGAAATGTTTTGTTTTTCCACTTGATGACCGTAGAGATAGAGTGACAGGAGAAACAATTGTGTAGCATAGAACAGGTACTGTAAAATTATACATAAGTGGTTTTATTTTTGGAGTTGACAGTCAGGAAATCGATTCAGAGTATACTCTTAAATAATTCTACTTTATATGCTTACACTTCTTGTTCCATATAACTATCTCCAGTATAGAATATATTACATCAGAGAAAGCATAGCTTCTACTATAGCATAGATTCTACTATAAGAATACGGTATTGTCCTTGTGCCAAAACTAAAATTCTCTACCTGTTAATAAAATTTTGAATGGGAATATGATTTTAAAATGCATATACTGTAGTGGGTAATGTAACAGCTTACAACTGCTTTGGCCATTTAGAGAGATGAAGAATTAGCTAATAGCTTCCACTTGTATATTTATAATAATCCTTGCATTTGATCTAGCGCCTTATCACGTCATTGAGATGCCTCAAAGCGCGGCACGGAATATACTGTAAAATGAATTGACTATATATTATTTGGGTGATGATTTGGTGTGCTATTTGGAGCTTTTCTAAGAGTTAAACATTGTATGAGAAATGTTGAAATTAAACTAAGGTGCGATTAAAAGTCTCTTTGGTGAATAAGTTGAGTCTTAACAGGTACCTGTACTTTAATATCTGGATGAAACGTGATGGTTGTGTTTGTATTTGATAATTAATGCCATTTTTTTCCCCCTCATAACTTTCAAACCTGTGTTGCAGCCCTCCCAGGTGGCACAGTATAGATATGGCCAACATGGTCTGTAGGATGCAACATGTCATACTCTGTTGCTTTTCAAGCTGAACTGCAACTTTACCCCATGACCTTGGTAAAACAATTGTAACATCTTGGTGCATAGTATTTTGAGAATCCATTGTAGATTATTTATTGATTAAACTCAGAGGAATGCCCCACTCATCCTCTCATTGTGTATCAAGGACATGGAACCCACTTTGACAATTTCTGCCAGCACAAAAGCTACTCCCTCACATACAATATGTTCAAAATAATCCAACAACACTATTGCAGTTTATGACCTCATCTAAATTTAATTAGATTAGTGCCTTCTACTTTTTTTTGGCACCAATTAGATCTTTGATACTAAGTTGTCTTTGTTTTCCCACATTTACACAGCATCCCTCCCAGCTGAGTGGAGAGCTTTACCAATTCTAGGCACTGAAGACAGACCTGTCTGTTCTATTTCGTACCCTGCTGGCAGGTGGGCTATCCGTAGTGTGTCCCCACCTCACTTTACTGTCTGTTTGTGACTGAACTTGTGTTCTACTGCTATATAAACACCAGCACAATAGCATTTTATAAGGTCTAAGACCCACATTCATTTTGACAGGTTAAATCCTTAGTTTATTGAAGGACTGGGAGAGCTCAGAGGGAAAACTTTTGTCAAACTTTACTCTGCTTTAAGGTCAGGCTAAAGTTGCTTGGTAATCATGTATGGAGGAGGGTCTATCGAAAAATATGATAAAATAATATTTAACAGCTCTTTTTTGCCTATCTCCGATTTTGTTCTGAACGTGTGCTTAAGCACATTTATTTTATCTTTCAAACCTGGTAAAATAGCATTAGATTTATAGGTTTATTAGAAATTGAAGACTTGCATTGATTTTTGGAATTTGGCCTGGAGCCGTAGACATTTTTCACATTATACTAGAGATGCAGTAAATTTGATCGAACATTATAGAGTGAATGGCTTGGCTTGAAACAAACTAATTTAGTTGAAACAGTTTGGCTTGGTTGTTATTCGATCAGTCCTAATGGTAGAGAAACTGAACGGAGTTTATTATTGGCCATGAATTGCCCTCTCTTTATTGGAGCTGATGTGTTAATGCAGAAGACCAACCATTGTAAATTACTTCACCCTATATAACTTCTGCTACCGGAAAAGTAATCCCATGTGCTCATCTTGATTTGAGATACATGGAAACCTATCTTAGAGACAGACAATCTGTACAAAAGAAGGCAGTGTTACTAAAGACTGGCTGACAAAACTGTGCCACAAAGTGATGGCTGCTTAGACCAGCTTTGTGGTGAGCTGTTGGATCTGCTTTTAGACCTTTGTCAATGTTCCCGTGTATCAGGAGGTGCTCAAGTTGCCTGTGATTTTTGATTCTTATGCAAACAGTATCCAATTTCCACTTCCTGTTTCCTTCCAATGACATAAAGTGGTTTGGATCGGTAATTTACTGTTTGGGCAATTTGCTATACGGGGTCTTGTACCTTAGTGGTTAGAGCTGGGTTCTATTCTTGGTAAGGCAGAACACTGGGCAAGTTTCCTTACTCCACACGCCTCTGTTTACCTAGCAGTAAATAGGAACACAGTTGTTAGTCGATTGGCAGACTGTTTTTCTCGGGGATAATAATCCCTTTTTAAAAAAATAATAATTTGGTCACTCAATCCACAACTGTTTGTAGGAAGGACACTGCTCTGTGCAATTGGTTGCCCCGTTCCACCCAGAAAATATATAGTCGATTCACTTTACCGTATATTCTGTAAAGCGCTTTGAGACGTCTCGTATACTTGGCAAAGGCACTATATAAAATGCAAGGATTACTAATATTTAGTTCTGTGGGCAATTTGTTGGCTTGAATCGCATCATGCTCTGATGCTGACTCCAGCTTCCTGGTCATTTTAAAGATGTGCCGCAGAGCCATCTGGTTATTGTTGGAGGATCCATTGCACGTTTGCTTTGCAGAGCAGCGTGAAGGCAGCAGCTGAACAAAGTTGCTGGAGAAGATTGGTGCAATGGGATGTAATGGAAATACCTGTACTGTATGCCACTGCCCACATAAAGACAATGACTAGAACCTTTCACTCTCATTTCACCTTGGCAGAAAAAGTGGTGGTGGTGAGATGTATTCCAGTGATACGATTGGCAATGGCAGATGTTGATAT